AAACATTAAATAATATTCGGCTAAGGGTACAGAAACGCGATGTTCGGAGTTGGAAAATGATTTGCTATCTTATATGAATAACTTTAAAAGCAGCAGCAGATTTCAACAAATTTGGGTGTCTTCTGGCACTGTGTTGCATCTGGTCCTTGCCCTCACGTCCTCTGTTGCCACTTTTTCTCTGGTCCTCTGTACCCACTGGTCCTCTGTTCCCACAGTTCCTCTGGCCTCTGTACCCACTGGTCCTCTGTGCCCACTAGATGTTCCTCTGTGCCCACTGGTCCTCTGTACCCACTGGTCCTCTGTTCCGACTGTTCCTCTGGCCTCTGTGCTCACTGGTCCTCTGTTCCCACTGTTCCTCTGGCCTCTGTACCCACTGGTCCCCGGTGCCCTCTGTTCCTCTGTGCCCACTGGTCCTCTGTACCCACTGGTCCTCTGTGCCCACTGGTCCTCTGTGCCCACTGTTCCTCTGTGCCCACTGTTCCTCTGTGCTTACTGTTCCTCTGTGCCCACTGGTCCTATGTGTCCACTGGTCCTCTGTGTCCACTGGTCCTCTGTGTCCACTGGTCCTCTGTGCCCACTGGTCCTCTGTGTCCACTGGTCCTCTGTGCCCACTGGTCCTCTGTGCCCACTGTTCCTCTTTACCCACTGGGCCTCTGTGCCCACTGGTCTTCTGTGCCCACTGTTCCTCTGGTACTCTGTACGCAATGGTCCTCTGTTCCCTTTTTTCCTCTATTCCCACTGTTCCTCTGTGCCCTCTGTTCCTCTCCTCCTCTGTATCTACTGGTCCTCTCTTCCCACAGTTCCTCTGGTCCTCTGTTCCCACTGGTCCTCTGRTCCTACTTTTCCTCTGGTCCTATGTACCCATTGGTCCTCTGTACCCACTGGTCCTCTGTTCTCGCTGTTCCTCTGGTCCTTTGTGCCCACTGTTCCTCTGGTCCTCTGTACATACTTGTCCTCTGTGCCCACATGTCTTCTGTACCCACTGTTCCTCTGGTCCTCTGTACCCACTGTTCCTCTGGTCCTCTGTACCAAGTGGTTCTCTCATCCACTGTTCCTCAGGTCATCTGTGCCCACTGGTCTTCTCACCCACTCTTCCTCTGGTCCTTTGTACCCACTGATCCTCTGTTCCCACTGTTCCTCTGGTCCTCTGCACGCACTTATCCCCTGGTCCTCTTGTCCTCTGGCCCTCCAGTCCTCTGCGTCCTCTGGTCCCCTGTACTCACTGCTCCTCTGGTCCTCTGTACCCACCGGTCCTCTGTTCCCACTGTGCCTCTGGTTCACTGTGTCCACTGTTCCTCTGGTCCTCTGCACCCACTAGTCTTCTGTTCCTACTGTTTCTCTGGTGCTCTGTGCTCACTGTTCCACTGTTCCCACTGTTCTCCTGGTCCTCTCTACTCACTGGTCTGCTGTACCCATTGTTCCTCCGGTCCTCTGTGCTCACTGTTCACTGATCCTCTGTACCCATTCACTTTACCCTTCTGCTACATCTATCTGTTAATTATTTGTTATTTCAGAACCCAGTACATGAGAGGCTACCCAAACTTTGAGATTATTCTTTCGAGTACTACACTGCGCATCCTTATGCGCATCATTTTCACACATGACTAGCGCGCGCATATTAAAATTTTCGCCAATCAGGTAAATCATTATTTTCTACTAGGCGAAAGCGTTGACCCCCTTTTACTAAAGCCATTTTCTTGTACTAGATTCGAAAAAACAAATGACATGAATTGTGCTTGAAATTACCCTACGTATATTATGCACTGTTATTGAACAACGGTCTCCTATTGGTCCTCGTCTATGATCTATCAGATATCAAATGTATAGTCGACGTATAGAACTATAGTTTATTCAGGTGTTTGTTCACGCATGGTGAATACACCAGACTTATGGAGCAGGAGTCCCGGAAGAAAGTTAAGCAGTCCTCCTGTTTTCAAACCCAGTTTCTTTCGGATGTTATTAAATCGTCGACAAATCCGCGGAACCTACAGAAACAGTGGAACATGCGGAACCTGCAGAACCATTAATTTTTTGTAAGAAAAAAGAAATTAATTGAGAAAGATTTTATAAAACCTTAAAGAAACACCGTTCGAACCACAGGTTCCGCAGTTCCTTGATTCGCACTTTAAAAATCGCGATAAGCGCATTTAACTGTCCTGGAAGTATTCTTCATCGCAGGTTTTTTCAAGGCGTTTTCATTGTAAGTAATTTTCCGTTTCATGTTTTGTGCGCTTCATGTTGAAAAGACTTTGATTGCAAAAACTGTGCAGAATGTATTCAAGAACTTGTAACAAGGACAATTACGTAGCAACTTTTTATTGTTGTCGCGCTGAGTATGCGACCTGGTGATACTCCTTGTCGAATAATCTTGTCCGAAATTAGTAGTCATTGTAGAGTGTTATAAAATTCAGGAGCAGAGCGTTTTTCGAAAACAGTTCTGAAGGATCTCGAGGTAAGTTTAGGTTTAGAGCCGTACCGAAGGATCTCGATATTGGTTTAGCGTTTTTATTTTTGGTGTTTCGTCCGACCACTTGATTTTCTTTATGATTTGTTTATCATTTGTGTTTTCGCCAACGTTCATGTTGCAAGTTTCACACTCAATTGCAGTAGCACTTTCTCCCACTTCTTGCCAAAACTGTCTGGCTTCTAAAAGTGTTGTTTACGCTGGTGTCAGTAGCAGATTGACAAGAGCTTTAGAACTTCACAAAAACAGCTGCTTCACAAGCTAGCAGCTGAGCACAAATATTTTGTTGGAACGCTCTCGTAAAGACACTCGATGTCAAAAACGCTGACGGCAAAAAAGCGTCAACATTGAAGGCTGAGACTCTGGTTTTATGGGTATGCATGTACATGATAGCCATAATTATATGTACGCGGTGAATGATGAAAGTCATCGACGCTTTCCTGAAAGAAAATAAATCATTAAAAATAGTTTCTTTTCCATGTATGATGAGAAGAGTAAATCACTCGCTGTGCAAATATTTAAAAATTTCCTGTAAAGCCGTTGTGTCTCAGCACTCATGGATCAGGCTTACTAATAGGTGTCAGCGTTTCTGAATTTCTTGTCATTATACTTGAGGCGTGTCACGATTTCTTGAGGATAAAGGGCGCAAAATGCAAGTTTTAGTTTATCCTGAGAAACCCAAATGACCAAACATTGCGTATCGCGAGTGATTCGAAAGAAAACTGTTATTAGGTATCAAACACTGCTTGAATCACACAACTAAAGTTTAGGTCAAGAAGCTGTCCAATTGAGAATCAAATATTCAATATCTCATGCAACAAGTGGCAAAGTTGTTGACATACTCCCATTCCAATCGTTTTTCGTCTTGTCTCGAGCGCGGGACGAAGAAAAAATTCCGAGTTCCGATGAGGAAACGAACCTCAGACCTTCGGATTCCGCGCGCCGATGCTCTACCGCTGACCCACAGAGACTCTAGGATAATAATTTATTTCTTATAGAGCGCTATTTATAATGACAGATCAACGAGCAAAACCTATTACGAAGTTCGTAGATGAGAAACATCTTTCTATATTTCTTTACCGAGCTCAAAGCTTACCACCTTTCTTATTCTTTTCATATAAAGGTTGCTCCTAGTACCCTTGCTTTCACTCTCTCCCTTCCCTTGTAAAATTTTACAACATTGAGTGGGGGGAAAGGTGGGGGATGGAAGCCAAATGCAGTTTAATTTTAAATCCATTCTTAAATACCTCCTTAAAAGTGGATATGTTGATGTTATATATCAGGACTACTCTGGGGCCTTAAGTCACCGTAACTTTGGGCGACTTTGGACGATTTAAGGCGACTTAAGACGACTTAAGCAAAATTGGCCGAAAAAACATCGCGGCTTAAGGCGATTTAATGCGATTTAAGGCGACTTAAGGCGATTTTATTTGACTGAGGTGATAAAAGATCACTTAAGGCGACTTTAGCAAAACTGGCAGACAAAACAGTTGCGACTTTAGGCGATTTAAGGCGACTTAAGGCGACTTAAGGCAACTTAAGGTCCCAGAGTAGGCCTATATCAACTTAGTTTATGGCATATTGTAGACTGACAAAATAATGAGACAGTAAAGGGAACCAGTCATTATTTATCGTCATGAGGAGCGGGGGATTTTTTCTTTTGGGGGGAGAGGGGGAAGGGTATCTCATAGTTTTCAGGGGGAACAGAGTGGGATGATCAGTCGTCACCAACAGGGTATAAAGGGGGGGAGGACTTAAGACATTTACCGCTAATTAACTGCTGATGAAGGTAAACATAAGAATATCATAGATTCTTATGGGGATCTGGTAAATTTTATCGTGGCACAATCAAAATTCTCCGACCCCATCAGACCTCCTCCGACCCCCTACGAACCCCTTCGACCCCCTCCGACTCCCTACGAACCCCTTCGATCCCCTCCAACTCCCTACGTACCCCTTCGACTCCTCCGACTACTTACGAACCCCTCCGACCCCATCCAACTCCCTACGAACCCCTTCGACCCCCTCCGACTCCCTACGAACCCCTTCGACCCCCTCCGACTCTCTCAGACCCCCTCAGACCCCTTTCCCATCCTGTCCTGACCTGTCCCTAAAACACTTGAATGATTATCTATCCTGTTTCAACAGTTGACAAATCTTTGTGATTGGTAGCTGTTCAGATTGCTGTGTAATGGACAATTGAGAATTGAACAATCATTTTATCTATGGATAGACTACCGAAGGCCAACGATATTACAATATTGCATATGCTGTGAAATGAATTTTATATTCTATGTCAAGTCTCGTGGCAAGCCATGATCAAACATTGTTGTTTGTTTTGGAAAGAAAAAAAGATTTGTGACATATAGTTCTGGTTATTATTGACAACTTGTCAAATAACTTTCACACAGTCCAATATAGTAATGTTAGTATTACAGTGTTGTTTAAAGTACGAATGTCTATTTCTTGACCAATCGTGTGGTACATCTTTTTCTCGTCATCAGATCAAAGTTTACTTTTCTCCGGCAAGCTCTGAACTACACGTTCTATCATCTTTTCGCGGTTAAGCACATTCCCTTAAGAACCTCAACTGGTACGAAGGCAGAAGTGCGAATTAAGAAAGGCGCAATGTCCAAAACAAAAATATTTTTGGTCGGGATAGTGGTCTATGCGGAGATAGTGGCGAGCTGTGGGGGCAAAGGTTAGTAATTCTCTATGACC